TTCTTCTTCAAGCAAAATTTCTAACTTATCTTGTAATTCTCCATCAGTTGCTTGAAGAAATAACTCCACTTTGCTTGGATCTAATAATTATCTTTCTTTTTTTTGATAAAAAACAAATATTACCTTTCAAACTCCCTCAATAATTTTGTTACTTGGAGACCCTTCTTAGGTCTTTCAATCCACTCAAAAAATAGCTTTTTGTAACCTTGTCACTATCTTCTAAAAAATATTCATCTTTTAATGCTTGAGATAAATTTTTCCATGAACCTTAAGATTATCCTATAATAGACTTCACATGACTTCTTATTTCTAGTACAATAGCCAGTTCAAATAATTGAACCATCTCCGTTTCAAAAATATGCTTCAATTCCATTTCCTTTATATAATACTTTAGATATTTTGTAATATCCTTTCCTTCAAATTGATCAATCTTGTCCACAACCGCTTGTAATGCTTTCTTAGTCATACCCTCTTTGCGAACTTTAACTTGTTGTTGTTGCATGAATAAGGCAAATGCTTCAAACATGCTTGCAAATTTGAGGTCAAAATACATACCTTGCCCTCTAATTAAAGTTCTTCTTCCAATTCCACTTGAAGAACAACTTCCAACTCCACTTGAAGCACCATCAAAAACTCCTCCTTCCATCCTCTTGCCTTTTTTCTCTATAATTCAAATAAACCAAGAAAAATATCCAAATACCTTCTACTTCAAGCTTTTGACAACGGGTTCACCAAATATGTTGTAATACGTGAAGTCTTGCTTGAAAATGTTCTGCGCACCTAGTTGTAGAAGGTAGAATGGAAATTACAACAACAAAATCTTAACTCTAATAGAATACTAACAATGCTAAGCAATTTTTTATCAAATTCAAAGAAACCTTAAAGAAATTATAAAGAAATAATAAAAAAATCTTAAAAAAATATTAGAATGATCACAAATATATGTCAAATAAATCTCAACCCAATCTTAATTTAATCCTAATTAAAATCCTATTGGATTTCATTCAAACTTTAGGCCAAAAACTAACTAAATCTTAAATCCTAAATCAACTCTAATAAAATCTTAAATTCTAAATCAACTCCTAACCAAATCCTAATCTTAAATCAAATCCTAATCCTAATTCAAATTCTAAAACAAATCCTTATCATATCTTAAATCCTAAATCAAATCCTAAACTGTAAATCAATCCTAATCAAGTTCTAAACCGTCAACCAAATCCTAACCAAACCCTAAACCCTTAACCAATCCTAACCAAATTTTAAATCCTAAATCAAACCCTAAACCGTAAACCAAATCCTAACCAAATCCTAACCAAATCCTAAATCCTAAAACAAATCATAATCAAATCCTAAATCTTAAATCAAATCCTTACCAAATCTTAAACCCTAAATCCTAATCAAATCCTAACCAAATCCTAAATTCCAAATCAAATCCTAAATCCTAAATCAAACCCTAATCAAATCCTAAATCTTAAATCAAATTCTAACCAAATTCTAAATCTTAAACCAAACCCAAATCAAATCCTAATAATTCCTACAACAGATTTAAACTTCAATAATTAATGAATAAACCATTGATCTTAACTCAAAATTTGTACACTTTTTAATAATTGAGTTGACAATAAGTACAAAAATTTTGAAAAGTACCGAAATTACCAAATAGACGATAACCTCAAAAATGTACTCGGGTGTTGATCAGCCTCCTTCTTTGACCTTGATGCCAATCTTTCAAAGCCAATATTTCTACCTTATACCATTAGATTGGTTTCAAAATTCTTCTATACATAGAAAAATAGGTCTTCTTTTCTTATCTATAAATATCACTCCAATCTAATTAATAAATTATAAAAAATCTTAAAAATCCTCATTAGACCTTAAATTCTACTTCTTGAGACCTTGATCCACTTAAACTCCAAAAATCCTCAATTCAACCATTAGATCTAACTAAAATTCACAATATATATTAAGCACAACTAAAACAATTAATCCAAAAAATTGACTTATAGATCTGTTTTAAAACTCTTGAAATTATCCAAATTGTCAACTCTATTTTATTTCACAAAATCCAAGTCATCTAAAAACAAACTTGACTTTGTAAAGTTTTTACAAAGTTATTATAAATCCAAATCACACAAAATTAGTGTTTATAAAAACCGTATCTAATCAACTTTTCAATCTACAAAAGAACCTCCAAGTTGTCATTGGTACTTAATTTTGTGCCTTAGGATTTGATTTCGACCCAGGTTGATAACTGGCCCTCTTTAGGTATTAATTTTTGTCTTTTTGAATTATGTTTTTTTAAAATCAACTCCTAAATTCTTTCTATAAATATTCATATTCTTTATTTTTCTAATCTACTTTATTTTGTATTATTTATGGTCCAAAAAAATAAGTAGAAGGTTAATAGTCAATATATGAAGACCACTCCTTATGGAACTCATCCCTAGAACATGAGATTATATCATGGACATATACATTTACTTCAATAATTACTTATATGATTAAATAGAAATAAGTAAATATAATTTAATTTCATATAGTCTTTTAGTGAAGCTTCTTAGAAGCTTCATAGATGTGGTTTTGACTTTAGATGTGTTTGTAGGTTGAAAACTTGGCCAATAAGTTAATCACATGTTGATAGCTTGTAGAATAAGTTAACTCTACATAATAGCTTGTGCATATGGCGCATATATAGATAACTTGCCTTACAAGTTAAGACATGTGGCTAGCAATGTCAACATATTTTGGAGGTCTTATAGGACATTTTCACATAGCTCTTAGTTAAGAGTATATATGGAGGCAAGAGTGAAGCCTTCTTCACTTTTGTCAACGTCGTTTTAGTCCTTCGTCTTGTTTCAAGACTTTCTAGTCTTCTTGTTTTTGGCAATAGTCATTCTAGTTGATATTACATTACTTTTTGAGTGACTTTTTAGTTCTCTTTAGTGACACAAGAATGTATTGAGGATTCTCTTTCTTTGAGATTTATATCCTTGACAGCTTGTCTTTTCTCATACATTTCCAAATCACCTTCTTTTTTTCATGCTCTGTTGCCAATTTCTTTCTTTCAATTCTCGTCTTATCTCTCTTTATCTTTTCTTATATTTTTAATTTTTTTTGTAAAAGAGCCTCTACTTTCTAAATATCTTGCTTTAGTAATATCAAGCTCTTTGTTATTACAACAATTTTTAGTTGCGATGACTCCGCAAATACATTGGCCACTATGTACTATTCTTATACGGATTCTTTTTTGTGTCTAAAATAAGTAGCCAAATTTTCTTTTTTGGAATGATAATTACAGTGTTGATAACTAATGGATATCTTAAGAGAGGTGATGATGGTTATAAGAACAATGATCGAGGAGAAATGAGTGAAAATAAAAAATTATTGTCTTCATTGTTTATCTTTTCATATTTGTCTTGTAATAAGGCATTCTAAATATTCTTGAATAGTATTTCTTTAGATAGAAAGTTCAAGTTCAGCGATGGCAACAATGAATTAGTAATTTTTACCATCATGGAATCTCTCTTGTAGAGTACAGTTACTTTTGACCTTATGTTGTATAAAACATGCATTCTTTTAAAAAATGGATAAGTGTCCTCTAATTTTGTGGCCACAATATATATATATTATGCATGCAATTCATTTCATCAATACTTTCATTGATATCCATTGACTAACTATAGGCAATTATATACTTAGTTTTAAAAATACACAATTGACTTAACAAGTTAATCATAGAAAGATTGAATTTATCCTTTGATGTTTTACTTACTTGAATAACTAAATGCACTAGATATCCAAAATTCAACTTTTGTCTTCCACATACTTCATTCTTCTTTAAATTGTGCAACTTTTAAAATTTTGTTAGGTCTTCTAACCAAGAAATGATTGCAGCATATTCAATTCTTCCAAAATGACATCCTTTGCTATAGTCTACAACTCTAGGAGTCTTCTTTGGAAGCATATGGATGAATGAAAGAATAGCAAAAAAGAATGAAAAATAATGGATGTAGAATATAATCAATGAAGTCAAGTTGACATGCTATGCTAACTTGATATCACTTGATACTTTACAAAATTACTATATTAAATGTAGATGTTATATATTTTCTAAAGCAAATATCAAGGAGTACTAAGGTTTGATAATAATATTTTGGATATTGATATTTTGAGTGATCTTGGAAATATGAAGTGGTAAAATCTAGTTATTTGGTTTTGCAATTTCGCCATGTTTGAAACCTCCTAATATATATATATATATATATATATAGAAAGCCAATATAATTTGGTGCAAGAATTCCCTTTAAGCCTTCATACTCATGCCAATCCTAAAAGTTATGGATATTTAAATTCAAGGGATAAGATGACAAACTTCAAATTTTATATCTAAGGATATAAAAGATCCAAATCTAAATCTGGCACCTTTGTCTCCTAAGTATAAAGCCACCAATAATAATAAAAAAAAATAAAAAAAAAAGGGTTGGAGGGGGGTGAGGGTGGGAGTGGGGGGGGGGGAAGGCAATGGACTTGGCCGGCTTAGAAGTGAAGTACCGTGCTTGGAGGAGGGAGAAGGGCTGAAGCAGCAGAATCGCATGGGAGTTTATGACTGTAATCATCGACTCTAGCAACGAAGAAGATTGGCGCTCAGTTCTATAGTTCAGACAAAAAGGGGGGGGGGGTAGGGTTGGGAGGTCTCCGAGATTACCGTCCCAAAACTGGTCAAACCAAACCAGGACAACTAACGGAGCTCCATTGACTAATTAATTAAACCACGATCTCATTCACTACCAGAGAATCTCCCTCCACAACATGAACCCAATCAATACCCCAAAAACACCCCCCCCCCCTTAGTACGTCGACAACGAACTCAAGCAGTGAAGTGATGTGAAATGAAGTGAAGTGAAGGGAAGCCCTAAACTGTGAACCCTAAACCAATAAACAAACAAACATGCGAGGGAGAGAGAGCCTGGCTGGAGTGTAGCTGTGACCACCACGTTACAACCGGCACGGTGCCAGGAAGGAAAGGAAAGAAGGGTATGTTATATTATGTAATCTGAGGTGCCGAAATCAGGCTTCAGATCCACAGACGACCAAAGCTGTTGTTGTGCAGATACATGGGGGGATGGCGGAATTCGGGACTTGGAACGGGTCCTCTACCGCGGATTTATCGTCTGCACCGCAAACGGATGCATTCAGTGATTGGATCCATCCTGATGGGTTTCATCTCTTCTTGTGTGACTTCTGAATGCATTTCCACAGTTTCGTTTTATTTTTTTATTTTTTTTATTTTTCCCCCATTTCGTGGCAAGAAATGCTGCTGATGGCCGTGGCCCAGCAAAGGCGGTCACTCTGACTACCGGTGTTTGCTTCCTCGAGGGAATTGTGTGTGTACACCGAACTCCGCACCCTCTTTTTGTGAGTCAATAATACCATCCATACCGGGATTTCTTTCCAAGTGTCGTACTGGTAGGCATCGCAGAAAGGTTGCTGCCGGCACTGTGGACCCTTGGAAGAGAGCTGTGACTAGGAGTTCGTGCGATGTTCCTCTAAAATTTTAATGTTAATGCGGTATTCCATGATCTACCTATACCTGGACCTATGCCGAAGAATCGAAGTTGAAAACGCACACAAAAGCATTGATGTAGGGTTGTGAGGGAAGGCAAACTAGGGGGAGGGTTAAACTCAGTTGTGGGGAGAAAGTGTGGAGATCGGAATGACTGATTGATTGATTGATTGATTTGATTGGGTGCAATTTAGTCCGAGCCCAACAGCCCAGTGGTACTGAAATTGCAATATGGTATTTCAAGGTCGGATTCCTTATCAAACTAATTGGATGGTGTAGGAAAAGAGGTCGAGTTTGAGTTAATGAGTGTCGTTTTGTCTGCTCGTCACTGCAGACCGTCGAACGGCCCAATCCAACCGATGCAGTGATGGATGGGCTTGCCAGGCAGTAAAAACGATGGCCAAATCAAAGCAAATTTAAGTGGAGGATGGCTAACACGTGAGTAGTAATCAAATAGCATATTTGCGCGCATATGTTTCAATTTTGAGAACTTGGGAGGTGGAACAGGCTCCACGCTGGAGAGCTGGCAGACGGACAGAGGAGAGGCCTGGCAAAGAACAACCCCTTCATCGTCGTTGTCGTTCTCAGGAATTAGTTCTGTGCATGAACGTTGCTCCAATTGTGGTTAGTTTCAGCAACAGTGCGGAGTTGAATCAGAAGACGTTCTTCCGGTTCTTCAGCCCATGCTGGATGCCCGTCGCAATCTACGTGCACCGTCACCTCAGCGGCTTGGCTCCTGGCGTCACAGTCCACCGGTACTTGCCCTACTGGAACAGTTTTCTTGGTTATCTTGGACAACCTCAACTCATTTTGTGTATGTGTAGCGGTGAGCTTTCTGAAAAGATGCCCTATTAGGATAACTGGGTGCCATCAGAGTGAACTGATTGAGGTCAAGTAAGAATTGGTTTGCGTATGCAGTTGTGGAGGTGGGGAAACTGCAGCTTAGGAATGGGAGAGGATGTATGGTGCGGGATCTTGGGTTGGGTGTCGCCGAGACATAGCTCAGAAGGCACGATCTGAGCTGCTTCTGTGGACCATTTCCTGCAGCAGGTGTTCCAGATCTCCCTAAGGGCAATCTGTCCAGGTCGACAGATTGTTGGCTACGGGGTGTCGAGTGTGTTGTTGAGAGTAAAGACCACGATTGAATCGGCAGTATGGTGGCGGTGGCGGGGAGGCAGGCTTTAGCTTTCGCACGCGTTGCAGCAGTGGTATTGCTGTGCATAACAGGATGGCAGTTAGGAAAAGGAAATGGTGAGCTTGGGGTGAACTGGGGGACGATCTCTCACGACCCGCTCCCCAACAACATCGTGGTGAAGCTGCTACAGGATAACAATTTCGCCAAGGTAAAACTCTTCGATGCGGATCCAAATGTAATTGAGTCCATGCGGGGGACAAACCTAGAGGTCATGGTCGCAATCACTAATGACATGCTTGCGGCTATGGCTGCGGGGACAGACGCAGCGGCTGCTTGGGTTAAGCAGAACGTCACTGCGCACCTCGGTAGTGGTGGTGTCAATATAAAGTACGTGCTTTCTTTACTACTTTGCACTCAGTTGAGCTCTTTTCATGCTGACATGATACTCCTGAAGAAATCGTTTAGATTTGGAGTGGGCAGTACAGAACCAATAGAATTGAAGTCGTGCTCGGGGAGACGAACTTCGAGCGCGCATCTCTAATCTGAAGTCTGGCGATTGAAATTGGAACGTTCTTCTCGTGGCAGGTATGTAGCAGTCGGAAATGAACCATTCCTGAACGGCTATAATGGGAAATTTACCGACGTGACATACCCAGCTCTAAAAAATGTACAAGCAGCGCTAGCGGCAGCAGGGCTTGCGGAGACAGTGAAGGCCGTGGTGCCTTGTAATGCAGACATTTTGAGCAACAACCCTCTTCCGTCGCAACAAACATTTCGGTCCGACCTCGCACCAATCATGTTGAACATTGCTCAAGCATTGGACAGCACAAAATCTCCCTTCGTTGTCAACCTGTATCCATTTCTGAGCTTGGTTCTTGGGACCAATTTCCCCATCGACTACGCATTCTTCTCGGGGTACAGTACACCCCTCGTGGATGGGACGAAAACGTATGACAATGTCTTTGACGCTAGCTATGACGGTGTGGTGAGTGCCTTAGTCACCGCGGGCTACCCCAACATGGTGGTGAGTGTGGGCGAGATTGGCTGGCCGACAGACGGCAACGCTTATGCCAACATAACCCTAGCTCAGAAATTCAACCAGCAGCTTGTGAATCACGTAGAGAGCGGGAAGGGCACGCCACTTCGCCCTGGCAAACTGGAAGCCTATGTTTTCAGTCTGCTCGATGAGAATGCGAAGAGCACGCTGCCGGGTAATTTTGAACGACATTGGGGTGTCTTCAATTTCGATGGATCCGTCAAGTACCTTCTCGACCTCACAGGTACTTCAATTTCTCCACGCAGCTTACCAACTGTCCAACGAAACTCGAATTCAAAGTTGTCATGTAAGTCATCCTGACAAAATGTTTTTGCGAGTACCTGCAGGTGGTGTCAGCGGCACTCAAACAAGGCTCATCGGAGCTCAAAATGTACCTTACTACCCAAGTCAATGGTGCGTGTTGAACCCCATCAAGGACTTGTCCACATTGCCAGCCAACCTCGACTACGCATGCTCTCGCGCCGACTGCACACCTTTGACGACTGGAGGATCGTGCAGCGGCTTGACACTGCAACAGAACGCGTCCTACGCCTTCAATCAGTATTACCAATTCAACAACCAGCTCAAGTCGGCGTGTGATTTCCAAGGCCTGGCCCAGGTGGTCACCACCGATCCGTCTGTCGGCTCCTGCAAATTCGTGATTGGGGTCGCGGAATCTTCCACCTCCACGCCTTCTGCACCAGGATCTGCCGGTCGCAGCGCCGCATCGACGTCGTCGCCCCTTCCCAGCTTGAGAATACTGATCTCCATCGCCGCTGCTGCCATTGTTGCGTCCCTTTTCCCCTAAACCCTGTCGAAGTTTTGCAAGGAATGGTTCCGTTTTTTTTTTTTTTTTTTTTTTTTTTTTCCCCTTTCTCTTTCTCTCTCTCTCTCTCACTCAAAATCTGTCAAGGACCTCAGATGGTGCCATCCCATCAATTTTTTGAGTTTTTTTTATTTTTTTGTTTTCTGGTTTTCGATTTTTGTTCTGGATCCCATTCAATTGATTGTAATGTATTTTATGCACCCAAGGTCTGTCGATGTTTTTATCAGCTGGAAGTTGATCCACCGTTCTGAGGTTGAGCTTTTTTCTAGTTCTGATCCTGGTGTGAGCGATTTCGGTGGGTATGATTTGAAATGCACGGTGAATAGGAAATGTTCCACTTAGCCTTTTTGACTATTATTACAAAGCGGAAAATTTAAAATGTTGTGGCTTGTTTTTGTAATGGTGTATTTTAATTTGTAATTTTTTTGGCTCCATGTTTCACAAATTATGTCCTATTTAAGGATTACTATTTTCTAGAATGGTAATTCACAAAAAACTATCATTTCATGATGGAATTGTGCTAATCATGCAGTGATGAGTGGTCACACAAAACATAAAGAAAGTTTATGGTCAAGTTGGTGAGGTTACGATGGTTGTAAATAGAAGGAATAAGTTAAAGATATGCAAAAAGGATATGTTTTAAGTAATGGATTATTATATACCATTTGGTGTGAGTGGGTATCCAAATTTTCTGAATTTGTTAAATTGATTAATCAATATTGCATTGAAAGGAGTTATTATCCTAGAAGTTCATTTTGAAAAACTGTGGTACAAAAGTTGTACAAAAGTAACTTGCTTGGAGAACAAACTCTCATTTCAAAGTCTGTTTTTAGAGACAGCATTCCATAATATGTAACAACAGGTACTAAAATACTTTTTTAATTTCAATATAAAAAATGGGTATTGCACATGTTACTATAATTTGTCACTGCCATGACAATTTGCTACATGCTCAACATAATTATTTGGGTTTTTTCTATTTCATCAAATCTTTATGTTAATATTTAAAAATTAAATAATTATAATTTTAAATCATATAAAATAAACATTTTAAAATTTATTAAAAAATCAAAAAATATATATGTGTAGAAGATGGTGTGTTGTGATGGTATTAACAAAAATTGAGGTGACATTAGAAGTACTTTAAAGATATTAAGTGAGGCTTCTCAACTTCAACTAATCAAAGGATTTGAAAGTTATAGCTTCTTGCTTTCTTCTCTATGCATAGACTTAATATATATATATATATATATATTTGTTATAATTGAGACATTTTAGTTTTATATTCTAATAAGAAAAAAAAAAAAAAACTTAAAAGAAGTTTTGGTCTCTAAAACATGTTTTATTTCTTATTGGTATTATAAATATAAATAAATGCACATAGATTCAATACATATCCAAATATTATTGTTATACATGAGAGAAATATTTTCTATCTAAAATATGAATTATCTACTTATACATAATTTTATTCACTTAAAAAGCTAATGATTAAAATTTTATTTTCTCTTAAAAACAAAATTTGCAAAAAATAAATGAATAGTTTAGCTGCTTCATAGTTTGAAATTTTTTGGAATGTATAAAATATTATGTTTCAAAAAATCTTATCTATGCTTTACACAAAAGTAATTAATAAGCTCTATGAACCATTTAATTTGTTCTACACTTGGACCAAAAAACTACATAATTATTTGATGATTATTAAGATTTTTATAACTACTTTAAAAAAAAAAACAACCATTTTAGATATCATTTGGCATACCAATCTAAAAATTGATGACAATCCACATAGTTTCTTTACAAATGTTAGTTTTTAGAATGAATCCACTTGCTATTAATTCTCCATCATTTGAAATTACAAAAAACTTGGTTCTTTAATTTGCTTCTTACTATTTCATATTATATTAGTGTCACTAGTTAGTTCTTGAATTGGAGAGATGTTATTATATATATAAATTAGAAAAATAATCAAACAATTCTAATATATACTTACTAATATTATATTTGCACTAATATTCAAAATATTCTAATTTATTTTGGCATTATCTAAAATGTAAGATTTTTTCTATTTCATATTTATTATTGGTATTTAATTCAACAAGTGGTTGTAATAACTTTTTTAATGCAACAAATTAAACCCTCTTTACAAAATCTTATTTATGTACTTTAAATACTTTACTTAAGTTTCTTACTTTACAAATAAAAATGCTACAATTCACTTTAAGCACACCATAAAAAGAAATCCTAAGGAAGACATTAAATAGTTATTTTTTATTTTAAAATTATTATTACTATTCTATGTCATATACTTTGGTAAACTTACCATAATAAATATTATTCAAGTGCTCTTAATCGTAATCAATGACATAAATTGTTCAAAGCTACATGTGGATTTTAGTAACAAATATAATATATATATATATATATATATATATATCGTCAAATTCTCCATAACCTTTTCAGAAGTCAACAAAGCCATTCAATGCAAGAAATAGAAAACAATTTCTATCTTTACTATGTAAATATCAAAACTGAGACCGGAACTCACTCCGTCGCTTGAATTTACTCATGTACCGAAGGAGGAAAGTTACTTATAGAACAAGTTTATAATGGACATTCATTACTTGATAACAAATAATTACTACGTTTTAAATGCTCTGAAGCTCATTTAATGTTTGACTACCATTCTACGATGTGCCACAAAACCGTACGTTGTTGACAGAGGTGCCGAAACGAGCTAATTCGTGATGCCTATCTGTACAATAGAAGAGCATGATCCACATGAAAAAGGGTCTGTTCGCATCTAGCAGGTGAGCAACCAGAAATGAGAGGATAGGATTATAGAAAACAAAATTAGAAAGAAATAAGAAGAACAAAAAACAAGAAAACATATTTGCAGTGCTGAAGGACGATCATGCCGCTAGCGGGGTTTAATGCTTTTACCCCATCCTTGATTGCTCCACTTACATCAATTGATGAACGTTCAGATATTTTATCCACAGGATCTTTGTGCTCGATGTCGACACAGCCAGTTTGGATTATATCAATAGCTTTTGTAGCACAGATTTTAACTGTCGATTCACAGAGAGACAAACTGTTACGACTGATATAGGCCAACTGTCACATATTCACAAGGTGCTCCCGAGGTCCTCGTTTCGGTACATAGCATAAAAATACCATACTTATTCATACACATTTTTCAGCATCAACAAAACTGTTCCAAACAGCTGCACAAGCTCAGATGCTCTCAATCTTCCAAATATGTACTTCAATTGGGGCACAAAAGGCAAAACACTTCTTAAAGCCATAATACAGCTCGGTAAATAGCAACTTCTTCATGCTATAGTGAACCCTATAAAGACTACAGCACATTAAAGTCCAAACGTGAGAGAGCCCAAACGTTCTCTGGAATCTTCACAGGCATACAGTCAGGGAAAACCTTATCATGCCTCGATACTTCCAATGCATCAGACACTGTGCGCATGCATCATCTCTCGGTACACCATGTCTATGAATTGCTCGCTCTGCACAACCATATCCTCAAATCAGCATTCAGTTCTAAGAAACATAAACTCCCCAGTGAACTGAGGAAAGCAAATTCTTCCCGGGTGGAAAACAAAAATAATAAATCAATCAATAAAAAAATAAACCCGTGCACTTTATAAGTACATGGTCATAAAACAGAGAATTTAAATTTCCCCACAACATTCACAAGGAACATCCTGGCGACAAACAAATCTATCTCAAAGCAACTAACAGCTTTCAACGCTGCAGGAAGTTTTACCTTGACCAGGCGATTAAGTGCTTCTCGAACTCCATCCCTGGTTATTGGTACATTGTACTGCACAGATGGGGCAAGCGAAAGTGGAGGATTTGCAGGAGGAAAGGGTTGAAGCAATGGAGCGCCATGTGAAGGTTTTACAGGAGCTGTAGAAGGAACTGGAGGAGCACTAGAAGCGCTTGCGGTAATGGGTGCTGAGGTTAGAGGTGGAGGAACAAAGAAAGATGGCTTTATGAGGGTTGCACGAATCCCAGTAGTGGTATCAGGCGTATCAAGGGCCGAAGATGGTGCTAAAGAAGTAAGGGGTAAAGCGGTTGATGGCGAGATTATAGATGGCATAGGCAATGGAGAATGAGAAGCTATTCCAGGAGCCGTACGCGATTGTAATGAATGAGCTGCAGGAGGACGAGACGCTGTTGTGGGAATAGCATCAGGTGTAGTGCTGCGCACTGTGTTATGCTGCATATTCACAACGATAGATTGAGTTGTATCAATAAAACACAATGAAATTGTCAATGTTTGACGGCTTCATTGGTACAAAACGAGTAACCTCAATCAAAAAGAACTTCATAGTCTACAGCAAATGACAGAGGGAAAAGATGCATACGAAGAAACGCTCAAATGACTCATCCTGTGTCTCAGGGAGAGCTGAAGATGCGAGAGGACCACGCTCCAATGGCCCTTCCAAATGGGATGATGTTGGAACGGCCTCAAGTTCCGTAAATTCTGAGCTGTAAGAAGTACATGTAATACAAGCTATTACTACCCGAGCTGGTAAAGCAAACATCATGAAATCACAAATGTAAAAGACGAAACAGGCAACTATAAACATAAAACCTCAAGTTCGTACATTATCATGCACAATGTTAAATTCAGGATAATTGCACAAGAAACTTGCATCTATGAACCAAGCAAAGAACCTTGGAGGTCAGGCGCCAAATCCAGCAGGCCTAAAATACAACATCTAACAAGCTGCATACCGTAACAAACTGAATGGAATACATGACCAGAACCTGGCTGTAACCAGTCAAAACATAAGCCAAAAATAAAATTGTTCTTCGTGCATATCCAGATACGCCAATACAGCACAAATTTGTAGTAAGCGCAAACCTTGGAGGAGTTAACCTTGGTTTTGGAGGAAGTTTTGAGAAGGCGTTCATGATCCTGATGCAGCACAATATTGAAGCTCAAATAAGTCACAGGAACTTCATTAATTACCCGCATACAACATGAAACTTCGTGCACTTTGTATTGCATTACCTGTGATGGTCCTATCCAGATAATGCAATCATTCTTTTCACAAACACAGAACACACGCGGGTAACCATTTTCATCAACTAAATTGCTTCAGTTTCCAAAGGTGTACACCAATAGACGATTCCAGTTCTTAAAGCTAACAGTAGGGGAAGGGGAAGGGGGAATCCATTTTATACTACACCTAAACAAAATCCACGCCTGAATAGGAACATATTGCAAAAAACACCGATAGATATGCTGTAATTGTATAGACAAACTGGCCTTCTACAGGGAGTTATAGCAGCTCAGCCTCAGAACTAAGACACTCCTGTAATGACTATCTTCGCCTAAACCTCTATAAGTAGACAAAGAAGAAAAATAAGTGAGAGACGACGTCCGCTAAGTAGTTTCCAGGAAATACTTCACCGAAAACAGACCTACACGTATTGAGATTACCTCTGGAAAAGGTTAGCAACATCTTCACACTCCCGCGCAGAATAAAACCAGATAGCATTTGTTTCCTGATTGGCATTGCGGTACAGAATGTACGGAGTTTGTACCTCGAACTCAAAATCACCCAATAGATTCTCCACCAAATTGTCTGCTCACAACTCGACAAACCAGAAAAGGGTTACAGCGCAGTTACGGGACCTTCCAAACTCATGTAAATGAGGGGCAATCTCCACTACACATCTCATGTGACTTTGGCTACCTATGGTCTGAAAGTAACTTTCCTATATCCAATGTGCATATCATATCTCAGGCAACATATCAATATATTGAAACCAAACTACAAGCCAGCATGTGTTCACAACTTGTGTTCTCACATTTGATGATCAGAATGTAAAGCAACAGCCCTGAGTCTAACAAAAAGAAAACAAAAATATTCCAAAATCTTTTCCACTTGTACTCCTATAAAAACTTACCTGTACTTCGTCGATTCATCACTATGAACTGAAACCGTGGCTGGGATCGCCTGCAATAAAGATCTTAACACATCACAGACGAGCTCACAAAAACGCCCTAGCGAGACAACAGCATGATACGAAACCAGAACATGCTACAGCTGAGTACTGAATCCTCACCTTTTCACTACAAAAAGTGAACCCTCCACTTCCCTGCGACTCTGGAATCAAACATAGAGGAGAAATTATCAATGCATCGACTGACATCTACTGTAATTCAAACCTAGAAGGATTTATCATCCAGTAGAAAATGATCCACGCAGGTTATCGCGTTTCAGACCATATCAGTCTCCTCGTGCTTTTGTTAACAATGACAATCTAACCATCGACTCCACACTCTGACGCAATGTAACGCACCACATACGCTCAGAACCCTAACAAGTCCATTCTGCTGCATATGCAGCATCTCGACACACTCCTCACAGGCATACTCGCGGTGAAAAAAGCACTCTGAAGGTGGATACCACATAGACAGGGCTTCAACGCTCAGGATAACATAGGAGTCCCATGTTACTGTGCTAGAATTCTTCAAAGCATCCGCACCTGACTAGGTCAACACACTAATTAACCTACCATTTGGACGCCCTACTCAACACAGACAATAGTGCTAGATCACCTCCTTCAAAACCCGCGGCCTATTCAGTGATTACACATCATCTTCCATTTTTGAAGCCATCGCCACTCATCAACTCTCTAACCCGCAGAGCGACCTCTGCTCCCACTCCACCCATCCAGATTTCGTCTCATGAATAAAAACGCCCCTCGAGTAAAGCTAACACAAGCACAACAGAGCAGATAGTCCTACATCCCTCCACAAAAATCTGCTCCGCCACAATCCCTGCAAACCATGAAACCGCAACATACCCATTGGTTGGAATCCGAATTGAACTGGTAGAAGGTGACATGAGCGGCAGTGGTCAAGATATCCTCCACATGCCGGTCCGTCCGCTGCAAGACAGTGAGATTAAGCTCCTTGGTGCTGTTCTGGTCGAGCTGCGGAGGAAGAGGCTTCGCATTCTGTGCCATCGCTAACTGCTCTCACTCACTCTCCCCCCTCCCACCGTCTTAAAAAACACCACAACCTGTTAACAATCAACAATCTACAAATAAAACGGCCAACCCTCTCCACTCCAACGCTTCCCCCTCTCACGCTCCCGCTCCTCGATCCACTCCAACACCAAAACTCCAACGCCTCTACGCAAAATCACAACAACCTCCTCCACGATGGCTTCCACCCCTCGTCCGACTCTTCTTAACATTTAATTTCCGGAATTGAACGAACGATACTCCTCCTCCACGAAACTTGTCCTTACCGAACTATTACACTAAAACCGTAACACGATTTCGATAAGAAACGCGTTGGTGTAGTAAACAGGAGGAGAGAGCTACAGGGGAGGCTAGCGAGCGTGCGAGCAAGCGAGGAAGCGAGGAATGATTCAAACGCGAGAGGGAGAGAGCGAGATGGCAAGCGAAGCTGGACTGAGCAAATGAAGGAAGGAAGGGGCAGCGAAGAGCAAGGGCGGCGGGTCTTGAGATGGGTGGTCTTTGGAGACTTGGACGTAGCCTTGGGAGCCTAATGGCTTCCAATTCCCCGAATGTCTGACAGGAGAGGAAAAAAAGAAAATATCATCATCCCCATCCTCATTGCTGATTAGAATAATAATAATAATAATAATCCATTATTACCATAATACTTTATGCTTCAATCACTATAATAAAATAAAATAAAATAAAATATATGCTTGATTACAACTGGATTGTATTGCAAGGATATGGGATGTCGGGATGATATTATTATAGCAAGGGGGAGTAAGTGACTGGGTGAGGGAACGAGGGAGGGCACTTAATATATCTTAATTGATTAATTAATTAATTACTTTAGTGGAGATACATACTGGAGTTTATTTATTTATTTTATTTCGAAGCATGCCCCGGTGCCTTGTAACGAGCCAATAA